ATATACCCTAATTCAAAAGCTACAATAATATGACAAATTGCATTCGCATGCAATCTCTTCAGATGTCACTGAAGGAACTTTGCTCTGGAAAAACAAGATTTTCATGTCTTGAGAAACAATTACAGTTGAGAAAGGGTAATGAACCCCTTTGATATTGCTGTCCTTGAAGTTAGGAGCAAGTTTCTTTCTAAGTAGACCCTGACCTTGAATGAGTGCTCATTTAACAAACAGGGACCATCCACTACATTTTCACTAAATTTATTTCAGAAAAATAACTGGTATTCACAGTCCCACCTAAATGACTTCTGAAGGTTAAAACAAATTGCACATAAAAGATGGATTTCAATATTTCTACAAAAACAAAACAAAAAACTTGTGGCTAATTATATCAAAACCAAATTATGAAAAACTTAAAAAGTTGAATCTTAATTATAACACTGTTCAGTCTTCACAAAGATCAATTAAAGATTTATTTTTTCAAATTAAATAATGCCATGATTATTTCTGTAAAATCCCTAGGAAAAGTAACACTTAAAAACTTTTTAAAACAAAGTGAATTTTTTTATGAATGTATGATAACAAGGGGCAAACTTTAGTAAAACCACCAAAACATATGTACAAGTATTCTTTGACTGATAAAAAATGTAAAGAACTTTAAAGTGGTTAACATGCACATAATTTAACCACCTAAAAAGATAAAATGATGGCTAAATATCACAATAATTACAATTGTTCAAATCAAGCATAATTTATCTTTCACTGGCTTTTTTTTTGTTGTTGTATAGGTTTTACATTACAAAGTAAAAGCAGACATTTTAAATTAAGTAAAAATAAGAAACTGTACTGCATGAAGATGATATTAGATAGACTTACTAAATGTTTTAACAGTTACATTTGTACACAAAAATAATTATTTAAGACAGTGTTTGTCACAAACTTTTTGAATAGAAAAAAAATCTGTTAGTTAATCATACAAAAAGATTTTGAAGATGAGTATATATGTACATTAAGCTCAATCTGATAATATCTTGTGTAGTAACTTAGCTTCCTCGTAGGTACATGTACATAACTAAACAAGGTTCTTACTTCAATAAAAGACCATATCTAATTTTGCAGTCTAAAAATGTTAAACATCCTTACATCATAAGATTTTATAAAATTATGCCAGTAAAAATAGAGATAACATTTTGAAAACAAACTAGTAACATATACTGTACACCTAGGAAATGTTCAGAAATTTCCAGATATTTGACCAAAAATGACCTAGCTAATACATGTAGGTGATATTTATTTTAAAATGATTAGAAAACAATGCTCATTAGAACCTACAATATACAACAAATCTAAAGTACTAATTAAATTAAGAAAAACAAACTTCCAAGAACATTTAATCCTGTGTTTATATTTTTATCATTTCTTCCAAGTATTCAAATCTGTTATACACATTCTTCATAAGATTGTTTACTACAAAATTATGAACCTTACTAAAAAAAATCATGGGCAATCAACTAAACAAATTACATGAATTTAATCACTAGAAATTGTTACTAATGGATGATGATACTACCCTTCAAAGAGTACAAAAGGTTTCATGTAAAAGTCATAGTAGTGATACAAGCTATTACCACTATAGCAAAAAGAAATACAGGAGAAGAAAGGTTTTGTATTTTTAATTGCCTTTGTTTTAATTATTTTCTCTTTGCTTTTATGACTTATTTGTCAAACAAAAAATTTAACTTTTATTTGCATCATAGTTTGACCTGTCTTGGTGATTCAAAACATTGCCTTGTGTTGCAATATTAAGATTTTTTTGTAAGTGGTGAAACTTTTTCTCTCCCAGATATATGAACAGTTACACAAGATATTTATTTTAAAAATCATGTTTTAAGAACATGACATAGAATACACTCAACAAAAATAAGTACTAGATTTTTCATTTTTATCACAATTTGTCTTAAATGTTCAATAATCATTGATTTTGTATAAATATCTTCTTTAGTACACCTCCCATTCAACGACCAAAGTTCATGTTCTACTCTTTTCTTTTTCACAATTGAAGATGTAACTGATAATAAACTCATTTTGCCATTGAGAGTTTTTTTTTTTTAACTTAATGAAAAAAATTCTAGCATTCTAAGGTGGAATCCTGGGAATGGAGAATGAACATTTTAAACTTGTAAATTATAGGATGTATGTTGACACTTTTGTGGTATTTAACCATGTTTCATCAGGTTAAAAAATTTCTCCAGTCTTCAAATGGTTGACATCTCAACATAAAGTTTACTGTGGAAAATCAATAGAATGACAAACTCTCACTTTTAGGTGTTCATATCTTAAATAACCTGGGCATACTTGACATTAAAGTATGTCACAAACCTACTTTCAGTGGACTATATTCAAAATTTGAAAGTTTCAATCTTTCAATTTTTATTACATGGAACCTTTATGATATGAGACTGTTGATTGGATTGTTTTCACTGTTGTTGTCATTAATGCTACCATGACCAGATGTGGTATCTTATGGTAGCTATAATTAAACTACAATTTGTAATATAAAGTTCAATATTTTTACCTTTCACAATAGTTGTAAGGACATTAATGAAAATATTTTTTTAGAAACTATGATGCAACTCAACTGTATAGTTTTTCCTAGGTTAAAAAACATAATGTGTGAATATATTTATATATTTTTTTACAAAATAGCTTATGCCTAGCATACTAAAGCCCCTGGAGTTAAATCCATACATAATGCAAGGCATGAAAAATATAACATCAGTTTAGTATTCTTATGTTTTTTTTACATTAAAGCAATAATTTAGTATATATTAGTATTCTTACTCCAAACCATAAGGAATATAGTAATATCCATTTTATTAATTTTTACTACACCCTTTTTTTCCTGAATAAACAACTTGAATAATTTTTAGCAGGTGTTAATTTAAGTAAATTATCTTTAGCTGGTATCAGTGGTTATGAATTCAGTTACCTGAAAAAATGTTTCCTCAAGTACAGAACAGTATTTATTCACATTTTAAAATCCATCAGTTTAATTTTATATTGAATACCTGGCCATGGGCCATGTTTACAGTGACACTTTACAGTGATAAGTCTAGATATCCTACTCTGTCATAAGACTCTTAATACCATAGGAAAAACAAGCAAACAACGAACTACTTCATACCCATTATGTAAATGTGCTTGATGTGTTTTATAATTGGAATTATTTACAAACACACAAATATTTATGTAAATGTGAAGTGGAAATTATATTTATGCTATCAAAACCAAATCACAATTAACAAGTGTAGAATATAAGTACTGCAAAAAGTGTCAAGTCAGTGTGTATAAACATTACATAAACATGACTAAAAGGTTTAGTACACAAACCTTCTAATGAACATTAATTTGATATTCAAAATTTGTATTTAAAGAAAAATCTTTTTCTTAAGTTAGTGAACTCACATTTTAAGTTAGAAAGTACTTACTTGAGTATATTTTTAAAATTATAGAATTTAAAACCAGAAAAATATTTCTCTATCATTTTTCTAACAACTGCTTTATTTTTTTGGATACTCTACAAATATTAACAAATGCAATTTGGCACTTACTCTTGTCTTTCAATATTGATGGCAAAACGACCTAATCAACTACAGACCCAATCTCTATGTTTGTATCACAAAGTGTTCTGGAGAACTATCCTGCTATTGAGTGGAGTAACTTCTCCATTAGTCTACACTGACAAACTCAGACTTTTAAATTATCTTTAGCTTCTATACATTAACTATACATATTTTAATTACAACCATTAATAAATATTGCAAAAATAACTGGTTTTAATACTTCCACTTAAAGACTACAACAGCAACTGAAGGACCACTTGTGATTATTTACACACATTATAAACATTAAACAAGTGTAACTAAAACATTTAGTAACATAAAAAGAGTTAATTTGACATTCCTTGCTCATATATAAAAATAAACTTTTTTTTATATTATAGTTATTGAACCTGATAGCAACTGACACCAGGCTTTATTGCTGATGAGGAGAAATCAGTAAAGACTGTCAAAGTATTGGTAGGGATTTGTTTATAATGTGTTTTTGTGTGCAACAGTTTGAAAACAGGCAGACAAATGGATTATGTTTTATTAAATAAAAAAACTGCTTTGGTTAAATTAGCTTGTAAACTGAAAAGGGAAGCATAATATAAGTTAATCTTCTTCCAAAATTTTTTCTGTACTTTGTTAGAGTGCACTTTAAAGGCTTCTCACCTCTACAGTTGTAGATTTTGAGATTTCTTTGACAGTAAATAAACACTTTACATATTACTAACAAGAGTTTGGGAACATACCAGGTAAAGCTGAATGTAGTTGCTCTGTCTACTGTAACAATGAATAGTAGAAATATGTGTATTGTAAGTTATAATATAACAAGGGTTTCATTTTTTCCTCAGTGTTCAAATATCTCTATTAGTCTTTCATGGTAAAAATAAGTTTTTATTGCTAACTTATTTAGACCAAACATGTTTGAGGTTTCTCTGAACTAGTAAAATGTTTGCACAATCATCTTGAATGTAAAATAATGCAAATGTTTAACAATTTGTAAATACTGCATACTTTTATTTTAAAATTTAAGAATTACACATTTATTTTACCAAGACTTTGGCTTAGATTTATGTGAGATATACAACTGGCATTATGATTAAATAAGAAATTAGTGACTACATTTAGTGTCTAAATTACACAAGTCATATTTTTGCTTAAGTAGCATTTGTTACACACACACAGCTGTTATTAGGAGGATGTAAATGTAAACAATGTAGTAGGTTACTAATCTAACCTGTGAAAATTATAAATTATACAAAATTCAATAAATCAATAATAATAATAATTAATATACTTGTTTAACAATTCCTCGCTGAGCTGTTGGAGTCTGTGACTGTTGTGGTTGAGCCATATTTAACACATAAGAAATATCAACTGCGCACAAAGTGTCGATGAACGATGAGCTCGTGTGGTTAAGCAGTTCCCAATACTATTACTAACACTAAACAGATACACGTGAACCGGCTCAGTTTTCGACCTGAAATGAAAAATAAAACGAAAAACGGGTAAAACTCACTTGCTTATTAAAGGTTTAGAAAAAGTAATTGTTTTTGCAATTATAAATACTACAATTTCATCTAAAAAGAAATGCCAATATCCAAAGCACAATATTCCCATCCTTTACCTTCTTCTAAACTTCTTACAATGTTACACTCACAGTTATCTCGCTTAATCACAGCGGGCACTGAGGCTGATGTGGCCGATACTCTTGCACTCAGCATGCATAAGGATTATGAGGCTATAAAAAATATTAAACAAAAATTACTCGAAAAACTGTAAATGACAAGTTAGAAATTTTACTGTATTGTGTGAAATAATTTAAACTAATTGTCTTCATAAATGTTATTGAGCGCAATGAATAATTATTAGCTGTCATCCTGTCAATCTCATATGATAAAACAAATTAGTGACTTTTTGTGGACGTAATACAACTGAGTCGATTTGAACCTTCATGTATTAATTTAACCGGGTGATGAATCGAACATGGTAACCAAAGTGTTCCGCGTAAACAGTAGGAAATTAGGAATGTGACAATGTGGAACTTGTGGCTGTGTATACTATTTAATTCATCATAGCGTCATAATGAAATGATTTAAATATATAATCAATTTGACTCATGGCAGCTTCAGGTAAGTAAATTAAATCTCGATGAGTTTTAGGTATTTAGTCAGAGGCGTCGGCTCGGCTTAACATCTAAAGTTTAAGTTTTAATTTAATTCAGCTTATCGTAGTTGTGTGCACAAGTACTATTTATTGTTGTTAATTTTTACTCATCGGAGAACATAAAATGCGTAGTGGTTTACTTAATTGAAAGATAATAAAATGCCAAATTAGGATGCCAAAGTCAAACTGATGACTCGATTATCTTAGTTATTAATAATGGCTGGAGACGGCTTGAATGGGTAATGAAGAAAAACTTTAATATAAGTTTAACATAACAGCAAATGTACATTTGCCATTCTCAAAGTGGGTTCCTCGTCATCGAATTATCTTAGTTATTATTCATATTTATTAATTTACCCGTATCTACTGCTCGCTTGTTTGGTGGTTGGAAGTTGGATGCTCTTATATGTTATAACATAGTTTTATAAATACTACCATAATATATAGTATTAGTACTAACGTAATGGATTATCAGAAATTTACCGTAAACTACTTCGCCACTGTCGGGATAGTAAATATCATGCCCTCTATAGGCTCTAATAATTTAAGAAAAATACTACGTGTAAAGTATCAAATATTAGTGATTTATGACGAGCATGATATCTCAGTATAGACTACCACAATGGTAAGGAATGGTATATTAAGAATCGTTATTGATAATAAATTAATATTCTATATGTAGTTAGAGACTCTTATATTAAGTTATAACTTATAGTTATAGTGATAGTCATGTTACCATGACTTTCATATTTCTATACATTTAAATTTTAATGCTGAAGAGTCAGTCCTATTGTCAGATGATAAAAGTAAGTTTTAAGTGCTTTGTTAGAGCATGAGATAATTAGGTGATTGTACAAATGTTAAAGTAAGACCCTGTTGTTTAATTGTTAGACTGACTTACTCTTTACAAATAATCATACCCAGTGTCTTGGATACCTTCATGAACACCTAAGATTATTAAAAGCCACTGTAAATGTAAGAACATAAAAGTTAGGTGATAGATGACCATTCGGCCCATTGTTGTCACCTTTAATCTATAAAAACGACAAATCCAAACTGAACCCTTTCATATTCATATACCTATCTAATAAAATTATAAAAATAATCAAATCAGCAGTACACACCACATCATTATGCAAACTATTCCACAACTTTAAAACTCTTAATTGATAAAAAATTATTTTTCAAGGGAAAGTTTCATCTACTTATCCTAAACTTAAATAAACATGTATCACCAATAATTTTTAGTTTTGTATTTTTAATCTTGTCATTCAGCCACTCAGATAGATCAACCATAGGAAGTTTTGAAATGCCTAATAATCTGAGCACCTATATTAAGTCTTGTTTTTACTATTGCAAACTCTAAAGAAAACAGTTGAAAACTTGTAACATATCTTTTATTATACACTAAGAATGATCAAAATGTTAATACCAGCATTCTTAAAGAGAAAAAAAAAACATTTATTTAGAAATTTCAGAAGTTAAACAGAATATACACTTGATTTGATAATGCCAGGCCTAGACTTTTAGAAATGACACAGCTGTACTTGTATTCTAAACTCAACACTATTACCTCAGTACAAGAAGTTAGAAAACAGACAAACCCTAACTTTGTAGATATCCCAAGATATACTTATTAATGCAACACTGTCAAACTTTTGTTATAAGTCACAACAAATATAAGCTTTATCTGAATTTCAAGAAATATCCAATCTAAAATTCCATGTTTTCGAACATCTAACATTTTTATTTTATACTAGATATTGACATTACAATTTAATGCAGGACAATTATTGACTATTGATAAAACATCTGATCAACTTATGTACGTAGAATGATAAAATAGTTTACATATGAGCATAGTTTAGAGCTAAGTGTTTAACTTGATAAATCAGTATAGTTAATGAGTGTCACTTAAAATAATCAATTAACAAAAATTGTGCTTAATTTGACTAATTTCATGAAACTAAGCAACTAATCAAAATTAGTGTTTCCTGTTATTGCTAATTTTGATTATTCCAACTATCCAAGTAATCGAAATACTGACATTATTATTTTTAATTACATATTCTATTAATTCAGGGTTGTTCAGCTTAATCAAATAGTGTGTTACAACTCTCAAAAATATTCAGTAATTTAAATAAGTAGTACTGATTATTGCTGTTTTGGTTATTCCAATTATCAAAGTCTCGTATGAGAATAGTCGATTAGTTGAACGTGGTTTATTGTTAAAGTCTGACAGTTAATCGACTATTAAATTTTACTTCAATAAATAGTTTATTTACTAATGAATCAATTAACTTCCAGACCACAAATAAGTGTGCCTAATTTGTTCAATATCCTTAACATACTGCAGCTTTTCCTATTTACTTTACACTTACAATTAGATTAAAACATCCTTTCTGATTTGTTGTTCTGAAACACAGGGAAAATGTTCAACTCCAATTTTCTTTTGTTAAATTGCTTGGTGCTGTGATTCTAATTCTTTCAAGTAAATAAAAAGGTGAATAGCCTATTCTACATTTTGCCATGCATTTTTAACAAGGTTTCTAATATTGGGCTTTATATGCTTTCCTTGTTATTCTCTTTTGTCATTTTTTACTCTTTGTTTTTTCTCTGATGCAGAACTTAAAATTAATTTACAGATGTAGTTCAGTTACAGGAAGAATGTTAATGGTCTAATATAGGAAAGTTATATTTTGAGTCGGTTGTGTGGTTATAGTACGAGACTTACAGTTTTACACTAAAAAACAAAGGGTTTATTATTAAACTTTTATTATATAATATATATTAAAGTTAAACTTCAATATATGCAATTATTAAAATAGTAGACTAAATAACTGCAATTAGCTATATTAACATAAGTCTTATATACTGTAGAACACTGGTCACCAGATACAAATTTTATAAGCATATTATGTTTCCTTTTCCTTTTAATTATTCTCTACATTGTAACTGAATACTGCTGGAGATACGTAGCATTTTGTTAAAGTTTTAGAACTCTACTACTACAGTATTACTTGCTTGGTGTTTAAATGTTACAGCAAATCACACGTAGTAAGGTGTGACAAATGAGTATATTCAAGACTCGTCAATAGTATATTTTAGGAACAGAATTTTAAGCTGTATCAATTAGAATTTTAATGTAATGTATTTTTTGCATCTTTTTTTTTTATTTATGTGTGTGTGTGTGTGTGACAGACAGTCAACCCTCTGTATATTGCACAAATTATAGCATACTGTAACTGTACCACCTGTAATAGGCAACTGCTGGAAGGTCTAAAATGTAGTCCTTGCATTGTCTTTTTATTGAATTGACTTTACAGTTCATATTAGTGACTTCAAACAATTCATTATTGTACGGTAGATGTGAATTTTATAAGAATTATAGTAAATATGACTAATAATCAAAAAGTATCATTTTTTTAAATAATTTTTCTGTATAGTGTCTTATTTTCTCTAGTTTGCTTTACAACCATTGAAAAATAACAATTGTAATTGAATTTCATTTTATTATCAGTGTAAAATTCAAGGTAAATGTCAAGAGCAGCATAAAAGTTGCATCATAATTACATCCCTCCATTCATTGACCCTTATAATATACTCTTTGATTACTCGTAAGTTTTAGTTGCAGCAAAAGTTTCTCTTTTTTTTCACACTAGAACCACAGTATAGTCTTTTAGAATATTTTAAGTAATGTAAAAACAATTTTCCTTACATCATTTACAGTATTAATTTCTGTTTTTTATATTTAAATAGGTAACAACAGGATTGTATCCTTTATTAGTTTTGAGTAAGCCATTACAGAAGTCTGTGAAACCATTTACATCTTTGTAATTTCAAATTGTAAGTTAAAGGTATGTTTCATAATACAGGTTAAGTAAGGTTTTGCAGGTCTCAATAACGTACTGTGCATAGGTGGAAGTAAAATTATATGAAGACTTATTCAAATTATTCTTTCTTAAATGATACATCTAAAAACACAAAATAATAACACACACAAAGCAAACTATTATAATTTTTCTGGCTTTTTAACTATGTGACAAGAGCCTTTAAAAATTCTGCTAAACTTGTCGATGTGATTCCCATGAGAAAGTTTTAAACTGAAGGCAAACTAAACAATTCTCTGCAAAGAAAACAACATAATACATCATTTGAAAGATTAAACATTGGATTTCTTTTGTTTGTGCAAGTTATGAACTGAAAAGTTGGTTTCTTCCTACTCAGATCTTTCTTGGCTAACATGATATTCTGTTGTTTTACATGTATGTATAATTTTGTATGGAAGGAACATGACTTTAAGGAAATAATATGTCAAATATACATAATTTTGTTAATAGTTGTTTGCATTTGTGTTGTGTGCAATAGTCATGCATGTTTCTAGTCACAGATTAATGGAATATATTATTTTGGCAGTGATATCATCTCATGTAATATTTAACAGAGATGAATACTGCTGTTTTTAATTTAAGTATTGCACATATGGCAGTTTTTTCCCCTAGAGAGACTTCATTCATTATGATGTAGTTTTGTTAGCATTATAATTACGATAACTGTACATGTAATGAATCTGGCTAAGAAGTAAGTAATGTATGCATATAGCCTTCCTTGACTATTTAATTAGCTCTCTTCCCTTCCATATCAGATTCTGTTGGTTTTCGGAGGTTGGTACTACATTTTATATTCTGTTGTCACCCTCCTCCTTTTTATTTATAAAGGTAAGTGTTTCATATTTTGATATATTTCAATGCTAGAATCAAATTAATATTTCAGTTATTTTCAAGTCTATGGAAGGTTCGTATATGGATAATAATTTATTTGGTATGCTGTTATCATGGGAAAAGGGATTCATTACTATAGATACATGTATAAACTAGGCAGTAAGTCAATAAGTGTTTTATATATTCCAATGCTAGAATGAAACTAGAATATTTCAGTCATTGTCAAGTTTATGGAAGGTACATATGTGGATAATAACTTATTTGGTGTGCTGTTATCATGGGGGGGGGGGGGGTGGATTCGTTATTCTCTGTATACATTAAGTTCATACATGTTTTGGCTATAGATACACGTATAAACTAGGAAGTAAGTCAATTAATATTTAAATGTTGGTTATGTAATGTATTTGTACTCGTTTAATTTCAGATGCTTCACATTTTTTAGGTGACATGTGTAATTTGTATATGCAAATTTCATTTGTTTGAATGTTTTAAATGTACAATGTAAAACTAACTTCAAAATTTCCTGCATGTTTGAGGAATATTGGAATGTATATTGCTGCTCACAAGAAATTTGAACTTACCTACAGCTGAAATCGGGTATACATTTTGGCTCTGTCTAATTGTGTAATTATATAGAAGTTTTTACACATTAGAAAGTAAACAAATCTGTGTACTTATCAAACAGTATCACACAGTTATGTTGAAGTAGATTTAAATAGGAAAAGTAAAAGATGTATCATTTATTCTACCTTCCGATAGTTATTTTTCATATGTTTTACTCTTGTAATATCAAAACCTAATCAATAGATAAGACAAGTGTGTAGTGAATACAGAGTTGAGTACATTATATTGAAATGATTTTGTTGTTAAAATCCATGTCACCATATCTGGTCATGTTCTTTCTAAAAACAATTTATTTTCCATTGCAAAAATCTCTGTTGTAAGGCTATTGTATCCAAAGCACACCAGTGTTCTCTGAATGCTTTTCATAATACATCTGGCAACTTGACCAGTGTGTCATGCTATGGAATAGTATGTATATCCATTTCATTCTCCAGTTGCTTGAGATATGCGATGATTGAACAGATATGTCATGGAAGTAACATGTGTACACATGATTTGTGTCACTTTTCCAAACAGAGATCTTCCGTGTTTATATTGCTTACTGTTGCTAGGGGTACATGGATGGCTTTTGCCACTGACTTTTGTATTAATGAATTCTCACAAGATGCCACATTTTGCTTACCACCCTTGGAGTACAACTTGTTTCAGGTCTGTTTCTGGATAGCTCTGGTATCTCATGTAGATCCATATTCCTTTGTTTTCCAATGCTATTAAGTATAAGAGATATTTCCAGCTTGGAAATTCAAAATTCCTGATCTGAACACGTCTCTATGATCTCAGTGTATGATTAATTTGCATTATGATCACAGTTTGGTGATGTCACATCCCCTTACAAAATGACAAACAATGTTAAAATGTAGATGTGAATACAAGGAGTTCCACCACAACTTTGTTTGCTGCAGTTGTCATGCAACATGCTGATTTGCATATTCAAAATCATATTAACAAACTCAACCGTGTGTACTTGTTTATAATATACTAATATATTTTTATTTCCATTATCATAGGGATAATTCTTCCATATCCAGTTAAAAATGTAGTCTGTGAAGTTGTACTGTTAATCTTTCTCTGTGGAGTGGAGGGAACAAGGGTGTTTCTTGGTAAGAGGGTTTTTTTCTTCTGTTATTTATATTTGTCAACAAAAAAATACATTATAATGAAAATAACATTTTTCAACAATGTTTACAGTATCTTGAGTTAGTAGTGCTTTTTACAGAATTAAATTGTGACACAAGGTATTCTTCCTCAGTTGCTGGTTCTTTAAATCATAGTTTGTTTGTTTTTTCAAAACTTAATTCTTTATTGGAAATCATCTGCAAGTCAAGTGATCAAAAGTCTGATTTATTTAAGCAAGTTAATATTCTATATACATCTGGTTAAAATATAATGATATAATAAAGAAGTATATGTTACGATTAGATGCTAAATAGAATGTAGGTTGGTAGTCTGTAAGATATATTAATAGTAGTATACATATAGAGACTCCTGGATAAAGAAAGCACATAATGAAGTCCAGGCTTCAGCATTAATTTTGCCTATTAATGTGTATTTTATTCACTTTTTCTATTTTTAAATTAATAGTAGTGCTTTATGTCATTTTGAATTAAATTAGGCTTGTATTTCTCAACATATATTTGAACTGAGAAAAGCCTGGTATTTAGTTTGCTCAGATTGTGAGTCTGAGTATTCAAGATTTTTAGCCTGTTTCTACAAAAGTATGCTCCAGCTATGGGTGGTGGTGAAAGAGCAATAATCAAATCTCACTCTTTGATCAGACAAGATTAGTCCAAGAGTTGACAGTATGAGTGCTGTTGACTTACTGACTTCCCTCTAGTCTGTTAGCTCAAAATTAGATATGGCTCTTCCAAGAGAAAATTATGGAGAAGAGAAAGGAGTGAAAACAAAATTTGCATTACTGGCAAAATTCTGAACAAGATGGATGATAGAAGACAACTATCATGAGAGGGACAGAAATATAGGAAAACAGATAAAAATTACATACTTATGTAGGCAAGCAGAGTCTGTACAAGAAATGTGCAGAAGAATGCAAGGCAACATATAACATGCTTGAAATTCACAGAGATTTAACTAACCCTATATTCTAGTAAATCCATCAAAAGTAAGGACAACCAGATACTTTTAAAATTAAAGATACTAAAGAGAGTTGTGCAAAGTGTCTGAGAGAATTATATAAGAATGTCTAGGAAGAGAAATTTTTGTGTAATAAGTTTGTTTATTATATTCCTAAGCTGGCAGGCAAGACAGAAATTTTGATATAACAAGTGTCTCTTCTATTTTCAAGGTAACAAATACTGTAAGATTGAAATGTTTTTTTTTTATTCCCAAAATAGCAATAAAAGAGAGAAATTTTGGTGTAACAACGTATGTTTCTTCTATCCCCATACAAGCAAAATAAAATGAAATTTGGATGTAGGAAATTTGTTCTGTTATCTTTAAACCAGCAAACAAAAGAGAAATTTTGATTTAATGAATTTGTTTCTTTTATGCCCAAACTAGCAAAAAAAACTAAAATTTTGGTGTGAATACATTTGTTTCTTCTATCCTGAGACTGACAAACAAGAAAAAAAACTGAAGTAACAAGTTTCTTCAACCCCAAAACTAGGAAAAAAAAAAAAAGAGTGAAATTTTGATGTAACGAGTTTGTTTCTTATGGCCTCAAACTTAGTGTTAGAAGAAAAAAAAAAGTTGGACGAAACAAATGTGTTTCTTCTATCTTTAAACTAGCAAATAAAATGAAAGTTTCGAAGTAAGAAATTTTTTCTTCTGTCCCCCCAACTAGCAAACAATAGAAGAATTTTAAGAGCCATATTGGTTATATTTTGTCCACGTTTTAATGGTGATATGGATTTTTTTCAATATTTAATTTAAAAAGATATTTTATCACATATTCCATCATATAACACATTACTTATAACACACTTGTAACATTTTCAGTTATATTTGTATTTATGGTTACATACATAAAATGTAACACCAAATGATTTATTTATTCATTTTGAACTTAGTTCATATTCATTTACTTTACACCTGTATTGTATTTTACTTACCACAGTTAATTTCACATTTTATTTTTTGTTTTTTTAGTTGTAAATGTAATAGATAAGTGATGTGAATAATTAAAAG